ATGGACCTTTTATTATCATTCTTATCTGGTGCCCCCCCCCCCTTTGACCTCCTAGATGTAAAAAACAACATGGCACCTCCATCTCCTTTTCTCTCTTATTTAATTTACTGGCAAGGTCAGAGACCAGTACCAAAGAGGCCAGCCTCATATCCCTCTCCCATTCTAATTCCTCTCTAACACCTTCAGTTTCCTTTCTGGCTAAGGCCTCTGCCTGGGACAGATTTCTTATTCTCAATAGCAGTGGCCAAGCAATCTCTGCCACTGCTTTTTGGCATTTCTGTCCCTGGTGTGCTACTCCCAGAGATTTTTCAGGGCCTCTCCATACTCATGTGGTGGCCCCCACCAGTCAAGCAGGCATGCCACCCCCTACCATCTACAAGATGGCTGCCACCCTGGGATCTCTCCCATCGCCCCCAACTGTTTAGAAGGCCTCACCCTAGTTACATATCTCACTGTCCACTGCATTAACTGCCACTGCAGCCACCCCCAACAAGCCTATGGGAATGGCCCACCAGGTTAACATTTCCTCAGCCCACACTCTCCCCTGACTCCACTTTACTTCAGTTGTTGGTCTCTTTCCCCATATCAGGGACATCATCAATGCTCTTCCAAAACTCATTCTCAGCTGTGTCGTATCCTGCCAGGCTGCGCCAATTGTAAGTCAAATTCACTACTGGGAGGTGCATGTTGCATCCAGTTCCCTTCTCCCAAGGTCCTTGCAACAGCCTGAGGAAAAAAATTCTCCAAACCCCAGTTTGAAGAATCTTAACGAGTTTATTGGACTTGCTAACTGAGCTTGGGGTGCAGGTTTACTTACAGACAAGCGGGTGCCCCCCCCCATTCACAGCTGATGCTGAAAGTCCACACCCAGACATAAATCCTGTGGCTCTGTACCTGGTTTCCCCAGCTTTTATACCCTTAGCCCCTCCCCTGCAAGCGGCTATAGTCAACCGATTGGGTGGAAGAGGGAAGGGGAGTGGCTTCTTTGCAGAGCATGGGAAGGAGGCAGGTCCATGGCTTGTCATCACAGGGTCAGAGGAACATTTTCTGGGTCACAGACTCTTAAGTCACTGTAACACAGAGATATTTACACATCCATGGTTATTGTAACACTGTTCACAACAGCAAATTTATGGGATCAGCATAGGTGTTTATCAACAGATGAATGGACAACATGTTATTTACATAGAGCAGGTATTTATTCAACCACAAAGGAGAAACGATTATGTTTTCTGCAGGAAAATGGATACAAATTGAGATAATCATATTAAGCAAAATAAGCCAGACTCAGAAAGACAAGTATCACATGTCTTCTGATTTGTGGATCCTAGATTTTATACAGAGGCATACACTGTGGGGATGGGAGGGGACAGGATGAATACAGAGTTCATGGTGAGCTTGGAAGAAGCTGTCTTTATGAAACCCATTGCAATGTATAATACATATATGCTTATAAAAGTTTGAATTAAAATCAAGACTTAGGCAAAATAATGGCTCTCTGTCAGGTGGCAAGTCAGATGTAAACTCCACCAGCTCTCATCCTCTTTCCCTCTGTAACTCAACTTGATTTCACACTGTTTCCAAAGTCAAACCCTGTGTTTCCACCATCCTGTTACACTAGTTCCACCAAATAGGACCACTCTTTAAGTTTTGTTCATGTTTATTTTTTATGTTTCCTATCCTGTTTGACTACATTGTCTAAAAAAAAATTTCTGTCTTAATTTACCTTCAGCTCCATTGTTGCATTCTGCCTCCCTTTCTTCCATCATAAGACAGGAATGAGAGTGCTTCCTCGCCTAGCTTTCTCATGGTCATTGGCCTTGAGCCTGGTGATAGACTAACGTGTTCTGGGAAGATGACAGCACCGGTGCCTGCCAAAACTCGCTCTCTGCCCTGTGTGGTCTGGTGAAGGCTGGGTGGAGGGAGACCTCTTGCTTCCCCATGTTCCCTGGAGAGTGCTGCTTGTGTTCTGTGGCTTTCAGGTCACAGGACTTTTTGGCCCTCTCATGAAAGAGAATAAAACAAGAGCTGCTTCGAGTGCTGGCAGACCTTCAGTTACTCAATTTCTTCTTCTTTTTTTTTTTTATTTTCTTTTAAAGCAAAATGGTAGAAAACCAATACCCAGGTCATCTACCAGCATACAGAAGCAACAAAATCAAGATGTTCTACATTTGCTTTGTAAATCCAGAAACACTGCAGGCATCTTATTTATTTATTTTTCAGAACCCACAAGGTTAACATAATTATAAAATCTGCAGCATAGAAAGACATCAGGATCATAGGCTTCTTCCAAAATTTGAATTTTCCTTAATGTTGCTGTGCTTATAATCAGCAATAAGTTATGAAAGTGGGGACAAGCTCTTGTCGGTGAGATTGTCACAGTCCATGGCGCCAGCAGTCTTCCTTTGCTCACAGTGGGAAGTTTTGCTCATAGCCCAGATGCTTTGTGGGGGCCTAGATAACTCTTTAGAAAGCTGCTCTGGGCATTTACTATGAGGAAGCCCTTGTGGTTTCTGGGTTCCAGATGTTCATGAACAACCTGCAACTCAATGTCAAATTCTTCTTATAACACCAAGTGTTATAACAGAAAGCTGTGCTTTTATTTTGAGGTGCTAAAAGTTAAATATGAGGCCCTGTATATCCCAGGCAAGCATTGCACTGCTGACCTGCACCCTCCATCCTGTATTGTTTTTGAAAAAGAAATGGGAATTTGTTCTCTAGGTGCTAACATGAGGAATGGGCTTTAGGATGCCACCTTCCCTTTATGTGACATTTTATGGTGAAGCATATACAATTAAGCTATTTCCTCCTTACAAATGCCTTGTCAACTACACAGAGTATTTTTTGAGTCTAGCCTAGCAGACAGAATCCGAGTTTCAGAGATGCTAAGCAACTTGCAGAGGGCCACAGGACAAGGGGAAGGGCCAAGATGTGGGCCAGGTTCCCTGTGAAGGAGCAAGTGTGACTCACCACATCCTATGTTCTTTCTCCAATGGGTGGATAATTTTCCCATCTTTCCTTTTCTAGAATGACTGGATACAGCCAGCTTTCTTACTGAGCAAGTTTTCCAAACAAACTTAACAACAAATCTTTACATTTTAATCGTTGCCTTTAACAGAAAAATGGAATAAGGAATACCTACTATATAAATTTTAATTCTCTTATATAGATTTCCCCCACACACACTTTTTGCTGCCAAGAACAATCAGTGAGGTAACAGTTAGCATACCATGTTGTAGGTGAAGATGCTGTAGGACACTGGAGAATTGAAATTCTTGTATATTCTCCTACATCACTAAGCTCTTTGGATCATCTACTCATTTGCATAATAATGGTCCTCCTTTTCTTTGTGTGTATTTATGCTCTTCCAGTGGATGGAGTCACTAAGGGCCATGCAGGTGACCTTTGCCTCTTCCAACTCTGTGGTGTTTCTAAACAACATTAAAGTTATACCTGAATAAAGAATCGGCCTGTCTCTTAGCTTTTAGTTTTATAGCCAAACTCTGAGAATCACCTCTTTAAGATCTCTCATGGAACCATGCTCCTAACCCAGTTTACACCAGAAATTTTATTTAAACAGTTTCTCCAGCATGAATTGGGGAACTACAAGCTTGGATCTACCCTTATCTTGTCAGAGAATCTTGCCATTTGACCACAGGCCTAAAATATCTCATATACACAATGCCACACACAGTCTTCTATTCTCACTGCTTCCAATGAGAATAAAAATAGAAATGAATATGCTTTGATATAATAATTCAAACACATTCACATTCATTCACTATCTTGGGTAAAAGGCAAGGTGGTGCCCTGAGGGATTAAGGTCAGGTGTCCAGGTCACAGGGAGCACATGGCTCAACAAACTTGTCTACGTTACAAACAGTAGTTTTTTTTTGGTGCAAGATTAAGTAAAAGTCTTTAGTCCAGATTCTTTCCATATTGTAAGTCATCCCTTACACAATTACAAGTCCTTCTACCTTTGGCTTCCACACCACTGTCCACCTCTGTTCTCAGAGCATCCCATGTTCACTGACCTTAGTCCCCCAAGCTTGTCCATCTGCAGCATCATCAGGGACAGCCACTGTGCCCTCTACCTCTTCTGTAGCTCATTTTCCCCTATTTCTTTACTTCTGCTCTCCCTGCCTCTATCACACTAACACCCACACCCACACTCACACACACCCCCCCACACACATGCACACACTAAAGGGTTGCATGCTCATTGGCCTTATCAAGTCCTTGATGACTTCCATAGTCTTTATCCTGGGTCAGCTAGACAACCACAGCATGCCATTACAATCTACATAAGAGTAAATCTTCTGTGGATTGCCTAGAGTTTCTTGCTGGTGCCAGCCAGCCAAGATGGACAGTACCTGAAAGGGGAAGTGAGGACTGAAAGAAAAAACAAGAGACAGAAAAGATACTTGGGAGGGCTGTCAGTAGAGACTGCAGCCTGGGTTTATTTCAGCTTGCCTTTTTATAGGGAGGAACTCAATTAGTTTCAACAGCTGTTTTTCCCACCTGTATCTGAGGGTCAAGGAGCAGTCAAATACTTGTTTTGTGAGCTCCACCATATAAACACATTCCTCCTGATTTGGCAGATTAGGTACTGGTATACAAAACACAAACTCAGTAAACAAGCAAGCCTGCCACAGCTTATGTACATAATGGATTAATAGCTCCCAACAGTTTCTTGTCCATATAAACATTTATTTTCTTTATATTCATCCTCAGAGTAATTTGGGTAGGTACCTTGCTTTCATTGTGCCCTTGCCAAGTTGCAATGTAACCTGGGTGTCTAAGTAAACATCATGAGATTTAAGACTGTTGTTGCTTTGCTTGTGTTTCCTGAATGAATGATTAAATGAGGATGAAGTTTGGGGACTTCAGAAACCTTACTGTTAAATAAATGCTTACTTTACACATCTTATTGATTCTAAAACCAATATCCTTCTTAACTTTCCAAATAAAATACATATATATGTATTTGTTATTTTTAGAGTCATCTCAATTCATGAGAAACTATCTAATCTTGCACAAATAGCTGAAATATCATTACCGGCAATTCCAGAAGTTATTTCAACTGAAAATATCTATGAATCAGTAGAACCAGAAACAAAATCAATTGATACAGAGATGGAAGTAAGTACATTGTTAAATAATGGGAAAGTGGGATTGCTGTTGCAGGATGGATACCATTGAAATGGCAAAACTAACTCCATTTCATTCTAGCTGACTTTCGCTTTACTCCGTGTTTTTGTGCAGCCATTTCCACTGCAGCCAGACAGGCAGAACACCTCATGCAGGTGGTTTCAGGGAGTAAATTGTTTCTACAATACTGGGAAACTTACAAGTGGCCAGGTAGCATGTCCAGATAGCACATCCTCCCTCCCAGCTATACCTGCATCTCTATGGAATTTCTACAATTCTGAGAAAGTTTATTCCTTATCAGAAGTTTTTGTTAACTGAAAACCTCTTTGTTAACTGACCTGCCCCTGGTCTGGTGTAACTATGGTGATCTGATGTAACTATGATTATTGGCTTTGCCCCTGGAATGATGTAATTGTGGTTTTACACTTTGTAAACCCTGCCCTGCTTCTCCTCAGGGTCAAGAGTTCTTTTGGGCATTAGCCCCCTCTCTGACCACCAGCTGTTAATAAAGGACTCCTAATTTGATCATCACTGTGCATCTTGCTCGGTATTACACCATTGTTACATGTGATTATTTAAATTACTTTTTACTTCATCAAAACAGAAGTATCTAACTAATCTTGAACTTCGTGATTCTTTCAACCTCTATTTTCTTTAACTATGGCACCAGATAGGGCCCAACTATGTGTATTTGTGTGTACATGTTTGTGCATACATGTGTATTCATGTGTACCTGTCTGTGTATGTGGGAGTATGTGCATATGTGTGTACACACATACGGAGGCCAGAAGTCAACCTCAAGTATCATTCATCAAGGTGCTGCCCACCTTGTTTTTTTGTGACAGGATATCTCACTGAACCTGGAGCTCATCAATTAGGTTAGACTGGCTGGCCAGTGAGCCCCAGGGATGCGCCTGTCACCTCCTCCCAAGCTCTGGAATTACAAGCATGTTCTTTCATGCCTAGCTTGTTTTTGTTTGTTTTTGTTTTAAATGTGGATTCTGGAGATCAAACGTAGGTCCCCATGGTTGAAGGCAAACACTTTATTAATCAAACTATCTTCCCAGCCCTGGTCCTACTTTTTGACACAAAAGTTTTCTGTGAGACTCTGACAGTGAATGCAAAACCAATCCAGGGAAACTGATCAGATGTGACAGAAATGCAAAGACAATGCTTTGTATCTTTAGAAAACCGGCTTTACTTCTTCTCTATTATTTCAATATTTTCATTACTTACATATGTGGATGAGAACTAGAAAGTAGAGACAAGCCTCTATCAGGTGCTTTAATGCAGGCCTTATGGTATGCTATTAATCCGATCACAAGGCTAAGGGGGTTTTGTACAGATGTTTGTGTTTTGTAGGGCTGAGCCTAGCAGCCTGTTTTTTCCTAAACTTGCCTATTAGGAAGGTCACTCTACTGTCCTGGGGTATGTTGGTGATGGGTCCAGAAGCGCTGAGGTGCCTCTCTTTGGGAATGGAGTGGAAAGTATTTACTTTCCATGGGGTAGGGAACTTATATCTTTCCTTATCTACTGGTTCCTTACATTTCCATTTGTGTGTTGATCTGGTTTCTTAAGATACAATTCTGTAGCTAGTGTGGATTATTTTTTAAAGACCAGATTGACCTAAAAGGCCTGCAGTGAAAAGGAATGAGCTCCTTCACAGCATCTTCTCCTTCACAGCATCTTCTTGCTCCACAACCCTGCTCTGCAGAATCAGCCCCTGACAACTCTCTCAGCTGTTTCTCCCGTTACTTGCTTTCACACCAGTAACTAGCAGCAGTTGGGAATAGTGAGACACACATAGACTCCAAATCTGAGTGGGTCAGCTGGGGGCTCTTGCCAGCTGTCCTCATGGCCACATCCTGAGCTGGTGGCAATGTATACTGTGAACATCTAGTCATTGTGCCAGGAAAGAAGGGGGCAGATCACACACTGGTCCTTCAAGTTTTCAGCCTGTCGTTTGCACTAATATATATTGTTGTTGCGGCTGTTGTTGTTTGCCAAATAAGTCACATATTGTGCCAACAATTTCACTGACAGCTTGGAAATAGGAAAGCCAAAAAGATAACTGAACTGGTTCTAATGGTGGCCATGAATTGTTCATTGTTTTTTCATTGAGGTGTCAAATTTAGATGATATCTATTGATTTTGTATTATGGTTTTTAAGGATTTGGCAAACTTATTACTTCCTTTCTCCCAACTTTCACTTCCTTTTCCCTTTGGAAGAGGGTTACATCACATTTATTGAAAACAGTACTCCATGTTCATGTTAACAGGACTCTGTAACAGTGCTCACAGCCGGCTCAGGAGGTGTCCTGTGGTTATGTCCTTTCTTCTTTGTTCAGTTTTCTTGGCTCATCTTTTATCCTTCGCTTTTTCCCACTCTTTACATCCAAGCTTTAGGTGTTTGTCCCCAGGTGTTTTTATACAAGGGCTCATACTAATCACACAGTGTCTCAGTCCCATTCTCTTCCTGTGCTGGCCCATCGTCTCCCTGTAGTTGAAGCCAGGCTGTTCTCAGAGCCCGCTGAGTGGCTGTTTCTGGTGGAGGCCCCAGAAGTGTGAGCCACATCCTTGCTTTTCTTCTCTGAAGGCTTTTAGGACCCTCCCCTTACTTTTAGTCTAGTAATTCTTTTTCTCTTAAGTCATTTTTGGCAAGGTGAACATTTAATTGGTTACCAATAAGAACACCTTTTTAATTCTTAAAAAATACCATTCGCATAGCCTTGTATTTTCTTATTTACTTCATCTATGCACTTTTATTATGTGGATGTGTAAAAACTAGCAACATTTTGGATTTTTTGAGTATATTTATTGGCACTTTCGGCCCCAATATACTAGCAGAGTGAGCAAATGCGTTTTCCATTATCATGAAAGCAACCAGCCCAGATGTAAGAGAGAGTATCAGGCAGGTACAGTTAGCTTTTGTAAAATGCCACTTTTCAGCATTTAAGTCTTCGGTGCTGTCTGCCCGGATTTATCATGGAGCAGATGCCTTAGAATTCTGGTTTCATATCCTTTTCACCAGCCTTAGTGGTTAAAATGTGAATTATTGTGCTTACTGATAAACTGTGGTCACAATAAATCCTCCAATAGGTCAGATAGCTCACGCTATCTTGAACGCAGGAGATTCTATGAAGAGATCTAGATTATACATTTCTCTCATAAAGAGTGTGTTGCCTCTCATGTGTATTTTCAGAAAGAATCTGACTCTCTTCACACTTCTTTTGTAGTGTCCTTACAATCACAGTTTTTCAGTCACAAACTTATCTTGGTGCTATTTTTGAGCCACAGTCTAGACTATTCCTTCCTTCAGTTATCCCTAGGCACATTCCTCCATAGCTGATATATGGAAAATTGTTTTCTCGCAAACCCGCCTGTCTTTTAGCTTAAATTGTCTGAGGCAGGAGAACGTCCATAAATGAAAGTGAGGACTCTAGACTGATTTCTGCCACTTAGCTTTACTGTCTAGGGTCAGACCAACCAATCCTTTTCTGGAACTAATTTTCCTTTTATCTCTAAAGTAAATAACCCTTTCACACGAAAATGGGCTGTTTGGGTAGAACAAGAGTCACCAAGGCAACCATGGTAGTTAGATGTAGGTGTAAAATTCATAATGAGCCCCGTGTCTAAGCCAGGAGGTTGACTGTGAGTATAAACAAGTCAGAAATAAAATAGGCACATAGAGGTGGAGGGAAGATTCCAGAGCCTTTCCTTAGCTAAGGTCTGTGACTTGCCCTCATGTCTGACTTGGTGTGTGGAGTCATTGTAAAGTAGAACAAACTCCATTCTTGATGTTCTTTGTATTTTTAAATTTGTTTTATTCATTTACAAGGTGTTTCTTTAGCTTTAAAGTAGGATGTTTTAGGTATGATTAGGTTTCGTTAGTTCTATATGTGAAAACATCAAATGGAAGAAATTGTATTTGCTTAGAGTTGAACTGACAATGAATTAGTTCATACCATTTGTAAGTGGGGAAATGGAAGCAATGTATAAATCCTTTTTCCCCACAATAATAAACTACACTTTTAAAAAGCTAGATCCTGGGTTACATCAAATCTTATTGACTAAATTTGCTAAATTTGTTGTCATGACAGTCTTCACTTTAAGCTAATTAGAAGCTAACTGGGATACTTAAAGAGATCAGTTTGATCTGGAATTGGACAAGATTTCATAGCTTCTTTAATGTGGTAAATTTATTTCTATCACATGTATATTGTTGGTGGGTTACTGAATATAAAGGTCTAAAACATGTGCCTTTGGCTGGCATGTGAGGCGGTGGGCCTTACTCGTTTCTACCTGTTTCCTTTGTTTTTCCTTACTTCCCTCCCTTTTCCTTTTATTGTTTCCTTTGTCAAAGTCTATAAAGTCCAGAACAAGCCAGGAACTTTAGAACACAGGTGTTAATTTAAGATGAATTAGGAAGGCCACACAGCTAGTGTTTTAATAATTTCTGAGTCCTTCTAAAATGAACAACATAGTCCCAGAATGACTGAGTTCTCTTTATATGCCATTCATAGCTTAGCATATGTTCCAAGCAGATCCAAATCTTTACAACACAGGAAAAGACTGGGGATGTAGCTCATTCGATAGAGTGCTTGCTTAGACTGTGTGAAACCCTAGGTTTGATCTCCAGCGTACCTTTAAATCAGATGTGGTGGCATATACCTGTAATCCTAGCACTTGGGAGGTAGGTGCAAGAGGATTAAAAGTTCAAGGCCATTCTCCAGCCTCATAGTGAGTCCAGATCATCTAGGCTACATGTTCTAAAAAAAAAAAAAAAAAAAAATTGAGGTCAGCATGCCCTCCATTTAACCCTGTAAAAACCAAACAAAGCAAAAGGATGCTGCTGAACTGTGCACACAAACCCCACAGTTTATTAAAAGAACTTGTTGTCCCCAGAACAGGGAATAGAAAAGAGCAGCTACACCTCCTTTTTAAGCAGAATTTGGTCACAGAATTAGGTATTCAAGTGAAGTCTCAATGAA